TACTGTGTGCTAACATATATATATGGAATCTGAAAAGAAATGGTTCTGATGAACCTAGGGGCAGGACAGGAATAAAGACACAGACATAGAGAATGGACTTGACACCGGGAGGGGGAAGGTTAAGCTGGGACGAACTGAGAGAGTGGCATGGACATATATACACTACCAAATATAAAATAGATAGCTAGTGGCAAGCAGCTGCATAGCACAGGGAAATCAGCTCTGTGCTTTGTGACCACCTAGAGGGGTGGGATAGGGAGGGTGGGAGGGAGGGAGACTCAAGTGGGAGGGGATATGGGGATATACGTATGCATATAGCTGATTCACTTTGTTTTACAGCAGAAACTAACACTACACTGTGAAGCAATTATACTCCAATAAAGATGTTAAAAAAAAAAAAAAAAGATCTCATGCACTGAGGAGTAAACAAACCAAAAATACAGGTACAGTGTTAAACAATAGTGGAGGTGACAGACTTCTCTTGTTCCTGATCTTTGTGGAAATGCCTCTAATATTTTTCCATTAATTGAAATGCTGGCTTTACCACTAAAATATAGGTATCTTACCATATTATGAGAGTGGCTAATTCCTATTTTCTTGAGTGTTTTTACCACAAATGAGTGAACTTTGTTAATAGCTTTTTTAGTATCTATCTAGATAATCATAGTTTTTATCCACAGATCCATTGATATGGTTTATTAATGGATTTTCTAAAACTGAACCACATTTGCATTCCTAGAATAAATACCACTTAGCTGTGGTGTATCATTTTATTAATGTGGTACCAGATTTTTGTTCCCTATTATTGACAGTTTTTACATGATATTCATTTGTAATATTGGTCTGTAACTTTCTTCCATTTTCAGGTGGGGGCTGAATTTATAAGATTTAGGTATCAAGGCTATACTAGCTTCATAAGATAATTTGGACGATTTTGTTTATTTTCTATGCTCTGGAATAACTTATGTCATATTGGAACTGTCTGGTCTTTGAAAGTTTAATAGAACTTCCCCTTGAAACCATCTGGGCCTGGTGCTTTTTATGGAGTAATTCCATGATTACTCTCTATTTCTTCTGCAGGTATTGGACTGTTTAAGCTTTACATCTGGGTTTTCAAATATTCAGTGGGAACTCTTATAATTTCTTATTTTATATAGGTTTTTTCTTTCTTAAGTAATGATATGTCTATTTTAAGCTTTTTGCGAAAGGAGATTTTGACTTATTAATTAGTGTTACTCTTTCTGTCCTCTACCTAATGAATTTTTACTTTTATCTTTATTTCTGCCTTTTGTTTTGGTTTACTTTTTTATTGTTTTTCTAGCATTTTGAGAAGGGAATTTAATTCCTTTATTTTCATTTTTATTTATTTGTGTTTAAGGCTATAGATTTTTCTCTGGTCATTGCTTTCATGTGTCCCATAGATTCTGACAGTGTTTCCATTATCATTATTTCTTGAAATTCTGTAGTTTTGGTTTTATTTCCCTTTCACGCTAGAAGTGTTTAAAAGAACGTGTTTTAATTTGCTTGTGGAAGGGCCTTTTAGTTTTATGATTTAGTTACTTATTTCTAGTTTTACTGCATTGTGATCACAAGGGTTTGTTTATGTAATGTCTGCTTTGCCTAATTTACCGATTTTTTGTGTAATCTAGCATATGATCAATTTTATGAATGCTCTTTATTGATTTTGTAGTTTAAGACTTCTATATCCTTACCTTTTTTGTTGTTGTTCCTCTTGATCTGTCCTATATTGAGAGTGGAATATTAAAAGCTCTTATCAGTGTACTTTTTTCTATGTCTCCTTAGACCTCCTGTAGTTTCTACTTTATAAAGGTGGCTACTGTGTTTCTTGGTACATAAACATAATTGTTATATCTTCATTGTGTGTTGTCACTTTTAGCATTAAAGGTGTCTTTCTTTGCCACTTTTTCTACCACTATTACAACCCCTGCCTGGTATACCTTTGCCCATATCATAATTTTTGGTCTTTCTAAATGAATTTCCCAGTGGAAGGACCATTTATTTTATGATTAGCTATCCCCAAAGTCCCTTTCTCTTCTTTTTACTCTCAGAAGTATGCCTTTCCAAGGTTGCCTTCTCGAGTGTCCTATATACTGTGAATTCGCTTCTTGTAGGCTGCTCTGGTCTACCAGGAGTTTTTGTTTTCCACCAGTATTTTGGCACTTTCAGTGGTCTTTCTCTTTCTTTGGATTATTAGAGTTCAGTCTTAGGCCTTTCATTCTCCTCTTCCTTCTTCTGTGCATTTCCCCACAACCCTGCCTTGCCCTCTGCGAAGAGAATAAGAACTTGAGAAATATCTTTGCTAGAAACTGGTGCTTATATCTCCTAATTATAGGTAACTTGAAGTTTGTATTGTTCTCTTTCTTCTAGTTGAAGTTGTGGAATTCGTGTCATTTTTTTTGTTCTTATTATTGGTTTACACAGTTTGGAAAGATGGTTGAAAGATTTCAGTGCACACAGTGATTTCCTCAGTTACACAGACGTCTGTTCTGTTGACTTCTTTGTTACCAGTATCTTCCTTCTAGAATGCATGCTCCATCAAAACAGGGCTCGTCTTTATTTTCTACTTTATCTTCAGTGCTTAGTATGTAGAAGACACTCAGTAAATAATTGTTGAATAACTTCTTCTTTAACCCATTTTTCTGTTGAATTATTAATACTTGTTTTGATGATTTATGTCGTGTTATATATGAAGGTTAATAATCTAATAGAACAATAATTTATCTTTTAAGAGTTTAAGGTGTGAATCAGATATCAATAAAGACAATTTTTTGTAGCTTTTATTTAGATTAAATGATGCAAGATTTAAATTTATAACCTGACCTGGTCCCATTGATGGTGGTAATAATTGTCTACATTTTTTTAATCACTGTAGTGTTGTAGACTCCATATCTAACAAATACAGAGCATTTGTATTTATATACTTTCAGTTACTGCCTTTTAAAGCACTCAAAAGGGATTTAGCAAATTCTGGCCTTAGTGCTTTATCTTGGTGCCCCTGGCATATGCTCACATATGGGTAAAGGGGAAGGGGAAATAGTAGCACAAAAATGATAGTAAGCAGAAGAATGAGTTGGGAGGGAGAATAAAAGTCAAGAAGAAGGGATGGAAAATATAGACAGAAGGTAGAAAACTGGGACATGCCACCAATCAGTTTGCTTCATACTGATCCTGGGTTGTCTGTTCTTCCTCTGGGATCTTATTCTCTGCCTCAGAATAGACCAGCACCAACATCATTGTATTGGATCCCTTTTGTTACGGGCCTAGTGAAATTCCTCCATCAGAGAAATGGCTTAGAGCACAAGACTCCTGGAGAGAACAGCTCAATTTTAATAGCTGAGGGAATTTGGTGTTTTGCTTGCTTCCACTGAAAATGGTTGGATGTTTCATTGATTGGCAAGGAGAACAAGGAAGCCTTTCATTTTTAAGGACGGCTTTAGAGGGCAAACTGGGTGGTGCCTGGTGAAGTGGGTGTTTTCTAGTGAATGACATTTGGTCTATTTTTACAGTTGGAAACATTCTACAGTACTCTTAAGCTTATTGTTTAAGCAGGCAAGAGAGCATGCTGTGCAATCATGAGTGGAATTTTTACATTTGATCCCAGGGTCTGTTTTCTCCCCCATAGTTTAGAGCCTCCATGAACTTGGCTTCTGAATTTATAAATATTTTATTGGTTTCAGAATCTGCTCTCAGTTTACTTATCTTCACCTTGTAGATTATTCAAAGGAAAAAGATTAGAAACATACCTGCTTAACATCTAACCGTAAATACTTTAAGATTAGATTGGAATTCCCTAAATTCTTTCTTTATAAATCATTATAACTGCTTTCTTCCTTTTTTTGTATTTTCCCAGGCTCTTCCGACTCATCTGTGGTGTTTTTTTGCTTGAGCTTTGCTCTTAGTTAAACATGTGAATATTTCTTTGTGTTGAGAATGCTAAATCAATGGTTACTTTCTTATATGTATTCAAGTCAGTTTTCCAATTATTTTTCTCAAAAGTTTAATTTTGCTGGTATTATAGGACAAATACATTTTGGAAAGAAGTGCTCATAATCCCAACAACCAGAACTGTTTCCCATTTTCTGTGTGTACTTTAATTCCTATTGTTTGTCCTCATGCATACTAATTTTTGCCTCGTTGCAGTGTGCTGCTTCATGTTCTGTTATTTTCATTTAACGTTTACCAGATTGCCTTTCAATAATTTTTTAAAAACAATCTACTGTCCTTCAGATATATAGTAACTTCTAAATAATTTTTAAGTATGCCAGATTTTATTCTGTTTAAAAAGTTAAAAATTTTTTTGTTGTCATGAACTTTTACTTCCCTTTTGTTATTTTTTCTTTCCTTAATCTGTAGTATATTGGAATTGTTAGTTGTATAATTCTCTTATATGTACAGTTATTATATATCTTCACTACAGTTTTTAGCAGGTGAGCTATATTCTCTACCGTATGCATTCATTTGATATTGAGGCGAAACGAAGAATAATTAACATATTCAGAGGATCCTAAAACCTTATTTGAGTCATTTTTCTTCTCTACATCTTTCTCCAAAATTTCCAATAAGGAGAAAAAATTAATTTGTCTCTTTTTCTCTGCCTTCTTTCATCTGAGATTGCTAACAGTTGTGCCAGAGGAAAAGAACATGGGCAGAAATAGAAAAGAGACGCAGATAATCCACAAAATGGGTCTTCATCTGATCTCAGTATTTGAAGTGCCTAGACTAGTGTTGCCTGGCACAAAGCAAGCAGTCAGGAAATTTGTGTTGGGGGGACAGATGTATTCATGAACAAGCCAATCAATAAAACCACATGTATTTCTCAGATGGCAAAATCTAAAAACCTCCTTAAATTGTATTGAGACTCAGAAGGTCATCCTAATTATCAAACTGCATTAACTACCACAATATTAGTCATAACAAAAGTTATATTGTTTAAGTCTTAAACTGACACACATATATATATCACACTTTTGTTTCTAAAGGAAGTAGAAATTCGGAACAAAGACCTGGAGGGACAACTGTCTGACTTGGAGCAACGTCTGGAGAAAAGTCAGAATGAACAAGAAGCTTTTCGCAATAACCTGAAGACACTGTTAGAAATTCTTGATGGAAAAATCTTTGAACTAACAGAATTACGAGATAACTTGGCCAAGCTACTAGAACGCAGCTAAGGAAAGTTAAATTTCAGTGCCAATTGATTAAAAAATATACTGTCTCTCTTCATAGGACTGTTTGGGCTCTGCATCAAGATTGCACAAAAAATTTGAATATCCCTTGTCCAGGAGGAGGATCTTTTGAAAATTGGAATTGTATATTTCAGTGTAAATTTTAGAGTTCAGCTTGTAGCTAGTTGGGGAAAAAGAGATGAAAAACTTGAACTACAGATTACCTCCATGTATATTATTGGCCATAGTTAACTAGAAAGTTATAAACAGACACTTAATGCAATCTTTTTTTCTGATATTAGCCAATGGGAGAATTAACAAATGTCTGGGTCACATCCCCTTTTTGTGTTCAACACAGTGAAGGTTATCTGCTTTTTAAATTAATTTATTTATGATATCTAAAGCTGTGTTTTGTGCAAAAACTTAGTGATGAAAGCCCTGTCTTTTGTTGTAATCGGAATAATTTCTCAGGATATTTTTGCACTGCTGGCAGCAGTGCCATTACCAATTAATTCTTGCCAGGAGTGAGAGTGAGCTGCATCTTTAATTGAAACATACTTACTATAACTGGGTGTATAGAGTTCTTCCCTTTTTTTATACTGGAAGATATTTCACTCTGGTGACCACTCTGGTACACTCTGGTGTTCTCTAATCTTGTCTGCTGTATAGTTTACTTTTCCATATTGATTCCATGTATTTATGAGAAGATACTGTCTCCCATTTTATTACACATTTTAAAGCCAACTAATGAAGGCAGCTGAGTCCCTCCAAAATTTTTCTTTTTAAATTTCTAATAAATTTGACACACAGTACTGAAATACAGCAGCCCGTCACTGGCGGTCTGGTCTAGCAATGTTAAGTATATTTACAGAATATGCAGTTACATTTATTTATATATTTTGCAAGAAATCTTTTCTGAATGATTAATGCATTTCAATTTACAAATAATAATGGTTGTTGGGAAACTGTTTATTATAGATCATTTTAAGGTGTATAGCTATTTTAAAGGCGATCCATTTCCATCGAGCAGCCAATCAGAGGACTATTGGGATTGGAGCCGTGTACTCTGTCTGGGTCTTCACATCAACCACGTCTCTAGTCAATCCTCACAAGGCAATATTCTAAACTGTTAACTAGGCATTTCAAAACAGGAATTCAATTCAGCGGGCTCTTCTCAGTGAACAGGATTTAATGTTGTTTTGAGGTAATTTTAAAGGACTTTCAGCAAACATGCATTTCTTTATATATTTCTTTTAAGAAACTGTTTTAAAAGTAAGTCAAGTGCTGTCTAGTCTGCTTATGGAGTAGGAACTGCATCAGAGTCCATATATTCTTGCTGTCCAATGCTTGTGACGTTGAGGAGGGTTCTTATTTAAAGTGTATGCTTGAGTATCTGACTCCATGGAGTTTACAAATGCACTGACTTTTTGTTTGTACCCCAAAACAGTTGAATTGTTAAGTACAGAATTAAGCTGGTTAATCAATTTGTAACCATTTTTTCACTCACAAACAGCTAATCAACACTAGACAATTTTGTTTTATATATATGTATGTGTATGTATGTAAATACATACATATTAATTTATATTAGAGTGAAAAATAAATGGTTTGTTTCTAAAGCTAGTTTCTAAAGTGAGTTTTCAGGTGTCTCTGAAAAGTTTATATCAGACACTTAATCATCTTGTATTATATGTGCTATGATATCATGTAAGTTACCTCCATCTATTTTAGGGTATTTGCCTCACCTGTTTATAATAGGGAGGATAATTTAGGTACACAAGCTCAGAGCTATTTCTCTGATAAATCAGGTAATAAAATTTATTTGATTGATGGAATTTTGAAGTAGATGTGATTTTATCCATCAGTTTCTGAGTAACAGAGCACCAGATTTTAATTAAAATAGGGGATTTAGCACTAGGGATCAGGAAATTTGGTTATGAAGAGTTAAAAATTCAAAAAAAAATAGGACAAGCTGTTGAAATGGTAAGTGAATTATTTTAATGATGTAATAAGATATTTTTAAATTTTGACATAGTTGTCATTTAATGGGAAAATAACTCACCAAAATGTCTCCACTTGAATTGTATTGATATATGAGACATCTGTAATTCAATATATACATATACTCATATGTATATACAGAAAATTATTTTTAATATTTTCCTATGGACATGAAATCTAAAATTGGAAATTTTGTGAGTTTTTTCCTTTCCAATAGAGTCTAATTTTTTCTTTTTTTAGTGATTCAACAATTTCTTGAGGGCTGCACCTTTAAATTCCCAGCTTGTCATTAGACGTGTACAGTATATGGGATAAGGTGGACACAAGTGCACATATAAATAAAATTTTCTTATTAAGACTATTTTAAACATTCATTTACAGTAGGAGAGTATCTAGAAATCATCATCTACAAGTCATAATTAGTTTGTGTGCCTACTGTAGTTTTCTTCATTTCTGTATTATATAAATAAAAGTTTGCATATTAAAATTTGATTTTTCCCAGAGACAAGTATTATATAATGTATATTTAGATCAAACTGTGGTAATATATTTATCAGAAAATAATGTTGGGGACTATAGCCTGAACATGTGGACTTGAAGTGACACAGAAAAGGAGAGCAGAGATTGATCCCATTGTGTGTAAGTTATTATAACTATGAATTCTTGTACAAAAAAACAATTGAAAAAAAGAAAAACAAAAATACAGTTTTTATTTTGAAATACATTTGTTGTTCTCTGGAGAATGTATCTTTTTTTCCTTCAGTCTTTTACAGATACTTTTTAAAAAGCATTTAAGTGATGGCAGCATTTACTTAAATCTTACAGGTGCTACTGGATTTTGCATTAGTGTGTTATGTTGTGAAATCCTAACTTTGACATAAAAGGTTTTATAAGTATTTCCCTGCCTGGAAAATTAGTTTTTGTTTCTCCTCTCTCTCTCTCTTTCTTTCTTTCTGTCTTTTTTTTCCTCCCCCTTTCTTTCTGCAGATTAAAAAAAGTTCATGAAGTTGCATCCCTCCTGTCCCTAATAGAAGAACTCCAGCACCACCATAGATTTAAAGTTTTGCTGTCATTGAACTGTTGGGAAGCAGTTAGAGGAAAAACTTACACCTTTTTTTCAAGTGGAACTAAAAGAGACACTCAGTTAAACCACCACCACCTTTTAAAACTCATTTCTTTGCCTTGTTAAAATTAAATGTATTCTTTCACATGTGTGCTCCGGCCTCCCATGTTTTTACTTAACTCTGGAGTAGGCAGCTCAGCTGCTGTCTCCTCGCAGACCTGATTTTCTGTCAGCTCTGGAATGCGAGGCAGGCCATTTGGGAAAATGTGTTTGGTGGCAGTGGTTTCTTGTTTTCTAAAGAAATCCTTTTGTTTATTTGATATCAAATGATTTTAACATCCTGATATTCAGTGCTTGAAGCCATGAAATAGTCTTCATTGAACTTTTTTCTTCTGGGTATTTAACATTGTTCCTTTATCATTCATGAAGTCAATTAATTTATATAAATCTTAAAGAGGAAAACTTTCAGGTAAGAAGTAGTTGAGAAAGACACATTTTTTAAAAATTTCTCAAGTAGGATACTATGCTATAGTAAGTATTTGTTGAGAAGATAATTTTCATGTGAGAAAATATTGTAAAAATTACTAGAAAAGGATCATTTTAGAATGGAAACAGATGTATCATTCACCTTATTCTAAATTGTGAAAGTGTATTTTTAACTAATATTCATGTTAAATTGGACCTTAAATTTTTATGGCAGTTTTTCTCTATGGGAAACCAATATATAGGTGTCACACAAATAAGCAGAGTTAATGAATTAAAAGAAATGAATGTTTTTCTCTTTTTGTTTATATATTGATATTACCTAGTAAAGTAGCTACAAGTTGCTAACAATTTTATCCAAGGAAAAACTCAGTCAGCACTACACTGCCAAGTGATTTCTGCTTAGTATATTAGATAAAAAAGAATTGAGTTATTTTTACCAAAAACAGGTGACCCAGGGAGAGAAATTGCATCTAGAATAGGGGAAAGACCATAAGCTCCCAACAGATTTCTAGTCAATTCGTTGATCTCTTTAAGTACGCTTTTTATCTTTTAGATTAAAGGACACATTCCAAAGGCTACCAGAAGTGTATGTGGGTAAGGAGAGGATATTTTTTTGTGAAAACAAAGCCAGCAAAAAGAGTAGGAGCGTGATGACTTCAGTTTTTATCTAAGACACATCAGGGTAGCCAGAGTCACAGGAAGTTCTATTTCCTACCTTGCTGCTGCTTTTAACTAAACAAGTTGGGACTGCCCTAGTGAATTTCAAAGGCTTTCAGAAGATCCTGTCATTATTGTCTGTCAGGATTTATAACCTAATATAAGACACCTAGCATTCAGACCTCACCATTCCATGGGATTCTGACCTACTTTTGTCAATTATTTTCACGTCAGATCTGCCCAGGGACAGAAATGTTGCTCTGTTTTCTCCTAATAAAACCAAATTAAGATGACAATGGGTGCCCGCCAAAATTAAGCCCATTTCTGTAATATAGAAAAATTCGTGGGTATTTTTTCTAACTACATTCATGATTTTATCTTGTTATCTGTGTTTTATAACTATGTTACTATATATGCATATATATATATAGTAAGTCATATCTATATGACTTGTGTATATGACTTATTTGATTGTTATACCTTAAGTGGAATGACTGTTTCAGAAAACAGGGCTAGAAAGCAGACGTACTTGAAGCAAATGCTTTCTCAACAACTTCAGTATAAAATGGAATAGAAATGGGTGTTTGTTGAATATCTGCTATGTGACAGGCACTGTACTAACTGTTTGACATTTCATTTCTACGTATAGGGTCCCTGCCAGGGGTTTTCCTTTGGAGGGGGGATGAGGGAAAAAGGCTCAAATGATTGCACCTGCTATGTTCCCACAGCAGTCAGTCTGGTCATCCAGTCCACTGTCAGAAGGTGGACATCTTACTCATGTTGCTGGTACCGTTTTTCCCTTGAGCTTGCCTGTCTAGAATATCTCTGTTAGGACACTTCTTAACTATATATTTTATATTTGCTCTTCTTGAACTTCTTCCTTCAGGCTCCTTTAGTGTTTACAATGCTTGTCATCATTCAGTTGCAAGTCATACTTTGTTTGCAGGTGTTATGTTTATGCAATATGTTTTACTCCCCAGTTTTTTTAAACTTACAGGCTTCAGATAATCCAAGGAAAGTACGTTTCATATGCAGAATTTCAGTCTATAAAATTTAAGTAGCAAACTGTTTATAAAGGCCTTGGGAAGACAATTTATCTCTTAAGTTCCCTGATGAAATAAGTTGTAAACCTGTAAAACTCATCCTCCAACACTAAATAATAGTTCAGCAGGATGTGGGTTTTGCAGTCAGTACTAGGTAACTTTGTGGTCAATTCTGTTTCCACAGAAGTTAAGGCCTCTGTGACTGATCAGGCCATTAGATCATTTACAGAAGTGACTCATGGCCCTAGGTTCTTTAGATGGGTGGTAGCCCTCAATTAAATGGAATCATATAATATTTGTCTTTTTGTATTTGGCATATTTCACTTAGCATAATGTTTTCAAGGTTTATCCATGTTGTGGCTTATGTCAGAATTTCATTCTCTTTCGATGTTGAATATTCCATTGTATGGATATACCACATTTTGTTTATCCATTTATCTATTGATGGACATTTGGGTCATTTCCACCTTTTGGCTATTGTGAATAATTCTGCAGTGAACATTCATATACAAAGATTTGAGTCCTACTTTCATTTCTTTGAATATATACCTAGGAGTGGAATTGCTGGATCATATGGTAATTCTATGTTTAACTTTTTAAGGAAGGGTTGGGTTTGAATTGAATTAATTAAAAAGACTCATAGAGCAAGTTGCCTTCTCATTGGGAAATCACAGTTGTGGGGTTAGTATTTTGTTAATAGGTCTGTAAGTGATCCATTGGTCTCTTAAGTCATGCCTTCTATTCTCTTACCTAAAATATTTGTTGAGTACCTGGTATATCCCAAGAATAGAGACACAAGAGAGAAGCTCATACTTCAGTGCAGGACACAGACAGTTTACAGTGCATAAGTACTCTGATCAAGAGGACTAGCATGAGGGAGCCCAGAGGGAAGAAGAGTCAAGAAATCTTTTCCAGAAGAGATGATACCTAGCTGAGTTTGGGTGAGGGAGTAAGAGCTAGCTAGTTGAAGGGGTGTGAGAGAATTGCAGAGAATGTGTCATGTGTAAAGGCTTAGAGGGATGAAAGCATTGAGACATTTAGAAGGTTAGAATGGGTTAGTACACTGACACACAGGGTGTTAGGGAAAAGTATATGGCAAAAGATGGTGATGGAGGAGTAGGCGAAGGGTAGATCAGGAAAGACTTTGTAAGTCATATAAAAGATTTGGGTTTTATTCTGAAGAAAATCTAGAGATATTGAAGGATTTTTTTTTTTTTGTAAAGAAGTGATATAGTGTTAAAATATATGGTTTAAAAGTCTAGTTAGTTCTGCAAATCATAGTAGTCCCTGTTGAGAGGCTGCTTTATGGTGGTTGTACTGGGATGGAAAAGGTGAAATGGATTCAGAGAGTATTGGGGAGGTAGAATGAGTGGGGCTTCTTGGTGGAATCAGTAGATGGCAAAGAAAAGAGAAGAATGTAGGATGATTCCTAGATCTCTTGAGTTGGACAGCCAGGTGTTACCATCCCATTTACTCAGACAGTGAATTCAACATGGGGAAAGGGTTAGTTCTGGTGGCGGCAAGACAAAGCAAGATGAATGATGGGTTAGATCTGTTTTGAGTTTAAGATGCCTATGGAATATCCAAGTAGAAATGTAGTTCTAGTTGGAGCTTAGGAGAAAAACATGAGCTGGAGATAGATATTTGGGAATTGTCAGCATATGTATTGATAATTGTAATTGAGAGCATGAGAAATGGGGAGATTACAAGATGAAAATGTCACTTTGAGCCAGGTACAAGACAAGAGCTTGTGAAAGAGACAGAAGGAATGACCGAGAGCAGTGAGTAGACAGAGTGAGGGACTCGTGGAAGCGCAGAGTAGCCAGATTTCACACGCGAATAAATAAATCAACAAATCAACTCATGTCTTGAGGCCATGATATTCCAGCTGTGTTCTGTTGAGACTCTTCATTAATATTTGATAAATATATTTGAACATAAAAAATTAAAAGCCAACAAACTCAGATATGCAGTTTATAACATTTTAACATACTGCAATCCAGCAAACATCAGTACCAGGTTAACTCTTTTTGTGCAGATGCCAGACTAAAGCCATCTCTGATAAACTTCATGAAGAGCGCCTTGGTGTTTCAAGGTGAGCTGTTAAAGAACTGCTCCCATTTCTTAATGTGAATCAGGACTTTCTCAATACTCTGCAACTGAAACAAAATAACAGAAGTAGGGTCTACGTAAGATAATGTCTGTCTTCTGTAAACCCAGTCTCAAATGCTGTTTATGAAAATAACTTCACTTTTCTTATTGACTTATTAAATTAAATGTTACATACCATTCTTTCTGTTAATATATTGGTTTTCCAGGTGGCTGTCATTTCTAAAAGGTTACAGGGGTGAGGGTCACTGTTTCCTAGTAGAACTTGGCTTATTATCTTTCTGTGGCTCAGCTGCCTCCCCTCAAAGTCAAGTTCTAGAGGCTTAAGTGTATTACATGTACCTTTTTAAATGTGTTATTTTGATACTAAATTCACCACTAGGAGCAGATGGCGTTTGTGTTTGCATTGCTATAGAAAGTTTTGAGAGTTAACATTTCTGTTATCTTAAATGATCCTTACTCTTTTTTTCATACTGATTCATAAACAGATAACTGTATACAAATTATCTCTGGTAGAAATTATCTCAAACAAGGACAA